CGGAACCGTCGCCATCTTTATGTCGATGCTCTTCTTCATCATCCCCTCCCAGAGGCCTCGGTGTGGAGGCTACGGTACCGACGAAAATGGTAACACTCTAAATCCTCTACACAGTGGATATGTCACTGCTACGTATGACAGTTTGGTGTTCATCTAACAGGTCAGACAGTGAATAGCCCCCCAACTCTGCTGAGCTGGCAGGTTGTCCACGAGCGAATGCCCTGGAACATCATCCTGCTGCTGGGAGGAGGCTTCGCTCTGGCTGCTGGCAGCGAGGTAAACATTCATTCATTTCTACTTTTAAGTGGCTAGTTCTGATGTTTTTGAGTGTGGTTGTACGAGGTATATCCTTACTGACTGAAGATGGCGGTAGGGATATCTGCAGTGCAGACAGTCCTTATGGCATGGAAGTAAAGCATGTGTTTCAGTGGGCAGGGGCAGAAGGTATTTGAGCCTCCTGCAAAAAGGTCCACCTAAAAAAAATCATAATCACTTTAAGTGTAAGCTATTTTGGAACGTTTTCACCACTTGATTCAACCTTGCTGTGATTACAATTAGTCATTTTTCCTAACAAATCATGAGCTGCTGGTCTAAAGCTGTAAATATAGCGTACACATAAACTGATATTGATTTATTTTTGTGGTCATTTATTAATACAGCTAAAATATGTGTTGCTGCCCTTGTCCACAGCAGTGCATGCTTCACTTCCGTGCTGGTACTCTGTTTTTACAAACTGAGGATGTGCCCGTACTGTACATTGAATATAGACAAGTACTTCATAAAACCCGACATCAAAACCATATCTGTTCAAACTTCCCATTCTTTGATGAGCTTTAAATGTTAGTTTTGATTACTACTCTTACTATTGTTCGTTAAAAAATGATTGCGAATTTTGTAAATGTGAGGAGTTCTTGCACTTCTTTGTTTCAAGTATTTTCTGCTTAAACCATTTGTTTACACACGGCATCTATTGCACGTCTGTCCGTCCTGGGAGAGGGATCCCTCCTCGGTTGCTCTCCCCTTGTCCGATGTGAGGGTCTATGGACAGAGGGTGTCGTATTGATATTCTGTACAAAGTGTAAAGTCTACTGAGACAAATCTAACATTTGTGATATTGGGCTATATAAATAAACATTGATTGATTTACAGGAGTCGGGTCTGTCCAAGTGGCTGGGAGACTGCTTGGCCCCTCTGGAGCAAATACCACCTTTCGCCATCTCGCTGGTGCTCAGCCTGCTGGTGGCCACGTTCACAGAGTGCTCCAGCAACACGGCCACCACCACCCTGTTCCTGCCCATCCTGGCCTCCATGGTAAACAGACGTCCACATGCACACACAGGCGCTAACACACAGCTTCTACATGTATTTAACTCTGCTCTGTCTCTGATAATAGGCCGTATCTATTAAGATTCACCCGCTGTACGTGATGCTGCCCTGCACCATCGCCGCCTCCCTGGCCTTCATGCTGCCGGTCGCCACCCCCCCCAACGCCATCGCCTTTGCTTTTGGAAAACTCAAAGTCATAGACATGGTGAGATGAATTTACAAAATACACAATCTTTGTTGTAAGCATTTTTAATGTAAGCGAAGTTTAGAGGATATTATTTGCAAGAAGATAGTGAAATGTTTGAGTCTTTGTTGAGGTACGAGGAGGATAGTGTTCTTCACATAGAGTAAGAAAAACATCTTGGCAGGATAGACCAGATTAAAATTTAAGAAGATAGTTTGAGTCTTTGATTTAAGTTTATAGGACTCAAAAAAGTCCTATAAAAGTCCTTGTAGCGCTAACGTCCCCAAGAAGATACATTTATTGCTGCTTTTTAGATTTTTCAGACCTGTACATATAGCACCCTGGTTTTTAAACTTCTTTATACTGATCAAATGTCACTGTCTGTTCCTTTAGGTGAAAGCCGGCTTCATGCTGAACATCATCGGGATTTTATCTGTTAATTTAGGCGTCAACACCTGGGGATATGCCATGTTTGACATGGGAAACATTCCTCATTGGGTCAACATTACAAATAGTAAACCTTGAGTAATGAACGACAGAGAGCTAGTAATGTAAAAAGAGAAAGAAACAACAACGTTTTCAAAAGTGTTTCTTTATAATAGTGTAAATGATTGATTAAACGAGAAAAAAGAGAGAAAGGAGCATAAGCTTTGATTATTACAGAAGGAAAGTACAAGAAGAGTAAATCAAAGGTTGTTTACAGTTTATGTGGTAAAGAAAAAAAGTTTAAAGATTATCTAAAGAAAAATAATATTTAGACCAAGTTTAACCTAATAGTTATGCACCACACACTTATAAAAAGGTTTACGACTATAAAACACGACCTTGGTGAAGAGCAAAACGGTGATTGATTTACAAAAAGAGAGATAACAGAGATAAGATTGAAGCTCTATCGACTCTGAGGTCTATTATTAGACAGACTCTCCCCTCTAGTACTTCCTCGTGTCAGGACAAATGAAGTGTTCATTAGGAAAAATAACTGAGGTCACTTGTATTGTACACAGTTTCCTGAATGTGACGTCATATTATTGTTCTATTTATCACTCACAAATGATGCAAAGATGAAGTACACTGTGTGTTTGATTGATTATTTAAAATGTAATTATTCTGAGTTATGTTTACAGACGATATTTAATTAGATGAATTAATTGTATCAGTAGATTTAACTTATTACTGTAGTTCTTTTGTTGGACCCTAAAGTCTTGGTTTTCTGTTGCACTTTTATTTGTTATCAGTGTTTTTGTCACACTGACTGTATGTGAACAAGCATTAACTGTACATTTCTTAATGTTCTGTGATTATTTGTATTCCTCCAAGGGAAAATAAAATTGGAGATACACTCTAGAGGAATATGGGTGAGCTATTCATCTAAAAGATTAACATTTTTAAGCCGAGCTGTCATAATGTACCTCTAAAACTTAATAATTAACATGTATACGTTGTTTAGTATCTCAGCACAAAAGTACATGTTGAAATGTACTATGCACCAGATGTGTTCCTTGTCTGGGAGCAGGAAGTATTGTACAAAACATGTTTGTGTTGGTTTTATTTGCATGACTTTAACAAAGACAACATGCCAAAGCTTTAATTGGCCTAATAATAAGATTTTAAAATAATAAAATTAATATAATCAAGGAATCAGCAAAATAGTAACATAAATTGCTGATATTTTGGTACAGATTAAACAAACGAATATAACAAATTAATGAGTGAGCATCAGAGGTGCTGAACGGAGCCTATTCCTCGAAAATGTTCAAACGTCCTCGAGCCCTAAGGAAGTTCAAGCGCGGGAAGCGCACAAATCAAACGTTTTACTTATATTGTGTACAGTGATAGAGATGAAAGGCTGGTTGAAGAATAACACGGAGATAAGAGTCTGCCAACGAGACATGATTCAGCTGAAGGTCAATATCTACTGTGTTCATAGCAGGTCAGTGCAATAAACGGAAAAGTAGAGACAAGAAGTCCCATCTAAGTAACGTGAGTTACCACATTTATTTACCAGAACCGTTTGAATTCTGTAAATTAAAAGCATGTGAACTCTATCTTATTCACTTCACACCATTATCACAATAACATCAAGACACCGTGATATTTCAAAAAAATCTCATACTCTTTTATTTATTTCACTTTTCCTCTCTCATATTGACAATTGAGTCGTCGAAAACTTTACATCCGTCCAAAATAATTGCATGAGTCACAATCAGTCATAAATAAGTCTGCTCTACACATCTGTTTTTTTTTTTACATAACATTCAACATATGACACATCCAGTCAACTCATCTAAACAAGTTTCCAATTTTTTGGCTCATTTAAAGGTGTGCAAAAAAATATGCTATGAGCAAAGACAATAAATATATACGCCGTATAATCACTAAAGGACAAAGTGAGAAGGAAACAGAAACAGGTCTGATGCACTTACTACTGATACATGTGTGGAAGATGCAGGTTTTATAAATCTATTTAACCTTTGCAAACCAGATGACCACATTATTAACATCTAGATAATAAAGTTTCACCAGACCAGTAATCATGCTTCAAACTGACAGACATACAAAAGCACAAAAACACACATTAATCCTGACCAAAAAATCCCCCAAATTGTTACTAAAGTCTTAAATACACACCTTATCAGAAGCAATATATGTTCCTAGTCCTTAAACATCAACACATGTAAAAAATAATTTCTATAAATATTTTACTTTACATTATTTGTCTAGAGAAAAGTTGCTTACTTTCTGGTTTATCATGTTACAAAAACATCTTGTCACAGCGATGCCACACACACACACACACACACACACACACACACACACACACACACACACACACACACACACACACACACACACACACACACACACACACCACACACACCACACACACACACACACACACACACACACACACACACACACACACACACACACACACACACACACACACACACACACACACACACACAAGGGCTGAACGATTAATCGATTTTAAATCGAAATCGCGATTTGAAATGATGCGATTATGAAATCGCAAAGCCTGCGATTTTTTTAACAATTTTTTTTTTTTTACAATATATTTTCTTTTTTACATTTTTTTTTTCTTGTGTGTCAGTCATCCACACCAATCAGAAGTGCTGTGCTCCACATGTACCAGACATTGTTAACCAATCAGAAGTGGCCCATGATAGACAGATTGATCCAATCACCTGCCAAGTGCTTTTGAAAGTGCCTGCCCTTTCCAAATGGCTTCCAATGGAGCTTTCCTAGATAGTTTGGTGAAACAAACCATCTGAGTCAGGTTAGTAATGCTCCATCACATGTTTCTATTACAGGGTGAATCTTAAACTGAAGCTTGACTTTAAAGCAACCCAACGGAAGTTTCATGTAAGTTTAGTTTTTTCACTCGTAGCTCGGGCTGCGGGGGTGCTAGAGACGGGAGTATGTTGATACGACCTTTCTAGCCGGAGTTATGGCCGCATTTTACAATAAACTTTCGTTGGGTCGCTTAAAAACAAATATCGCAATTTGAATCGCAATCGCAATATTTGTCAGAAAAATCGCAATTACATTTTTTTCCAAAATCGTGCACGCACACACACACAGAACACAAGTATGAACATTTTCTGGATGGTTTTCTCGCGGGAGAAAGAGATAACTAAAAGGAGATAGGACTAGTGGACTGACAGGATGTTAACCCCACCAGTGGGCTCTGATCGTCCCTCAGATCGCGTGTCTCTCGTGTCAGCGTGTCGTCTCTACGTCCCGCCGTTGTATGAGTAATCCGCCTTGTTGTGCATCACCAGTTTATTGTCCACAAAGTAGAAGCTGTCCGACTGCGTCTCGTACGGGTGAAGAACCATCTCTCTGACTGAGAGCAGACACACAAACAACACTGCTGTTAGAGCACTGGTTCCCAACACAGTATCTTCTAATGAACCTGCACGTGACAAACATGTAAGAAGGGGAGCCAAATCAGAAAGGCATGTTGAAGCCAATGTTTTTGACCAAGACAGCCCAACATTATAACTCTTATTTCACAGTTTGTGGGTAGGTAGACTCAAACATATTTGCACAAGCACTGAGAAGCACGTTTTTCATGGGTAAATTTTTGCAGGATGGAATATATTTTTAATTTTTAAAGGAAATGTCCAAACAAATTAACACTGGATTGGCATTATTGATGTTAAATACATTTATGTCCCACAGGAATTGTTGTAATCCCTTTCTGGATCTAGCAATCTTTAAATGAGCTAACCGATTCCCCAGATAGTTGATTGGGAAGAAGCATGAGAACCAGTTCCTAACCACATAGAACCAAAATATGTATAGGAGGAGCAAATCGCACAAATGTCTTCAAATTGAAATGAATGAATCTTTAATAACGAATATAGGATAACGAAAACGTTCAGGAGTAGTACTCATATCTGCTCTGATATGGTAACCTATTGGAAAAGTGTTTATTTTTTATATATTCACTGCAGCTAGGTTTCAATATAAAAAAATAACTAATCCAAAACCGTTTTGAAAAAAGGGATATTCATTCCAATCCATTTATAAATCAAAGAACAACCGAATAGACTTACTCGTGTCCTCAGACAGAGGGGGGAATTCGTAGATGTGTTCGCAGGAGTTCTTGCTGCTCGGCATGCAGAAGCCAAATTCAAAGTCAAAACTCTTGAGCAATTTGTCTCTGAAATAATGTCTCTCGATCATCCTGAAGTTTTCTATTGGCGTGTCTCCGACCATGAATTCAACGCTGGACAGACGGATAGAAAAAAGGTGAGTGAGACAGAAGACAGATCTTTCTAAATAAAGATGAACACACGTTCTCACTTACGTGGCTCCAACTTGCCGCAGTCGGAGAAAAGCGGGGGTGAACTGGTAGCGGACAAATCGGCCGGCGTTTGGGTCCATATCCCTCTTATCCCCTGCTTTGTCTGAATTGAGAGCAGTTTGTGCGGTACAGAAACAAAATTAAATGTAATTCATATTTGGACATGAGCCTTTTCCCACAAACAGGTTGCAACAAATATATCAACACACCCCAGAAAACCATAATAAGTAGAAACATATTAAAAGTGCGAAGTTGATAGATTAGTTTAGTTGATGTGTGAAAGATGCATGTGAGAGGCTGCTTTGATTATCTGTATTTTTATAGTAAATATAGATTAAGTGAAAGAAATTCATAGGTGACTCGCCTGCAGATGGAGGTTTGGTGATTTCAAACAGCACGGTGGAGGTCTCCATGTCTCTGATCTTGAACCTGGTGAAGTCGATGCTGAACACATTTTCGTCTGGGCCACACAGATAATCTGAAAGAGAGATATACATATAAAGAATGTACTTAAACTCCTATACTTGATAGTAACTTGAGCTGATAATGTAGATGATGGACAGTTGGCATTAAAAGATTAGACTTTTTCTGTATTCTTTTATGTTTTCTGATCATTTAGGACATTTTATATTATATTTAAATTGGGCAACGTTGGTAATTCTCTTGTGATGCACTGTCATATACTTTTGGTTAAAAACCGGTTTAAAACATGTTTATATTACAATGTTGTTATTGGCTCTGAATTATCAATTATGCACCAATAATGACAATGTTTCAGATACTTTCACATATGAAAGAAATAAGTGGAAAACAATAGAAAGAAGTGTATTTTATTTAATGAATGGATATATTTAGCAAAGTTATGAGATCAATGAAAATGTAAACATTATGTTGGGTTGACATGAGGAAAGTAAACTGCTGCAAACAAAACAAAAACAATTCTCTTAAATAATTCTCTGAATATACACTGTTCACACACACAATTAAACAGCTCTGCAGCAATGAACACTATATTCAAAGAATAAGGTGCATTCAATCCAGTTTACTGCAGTTTCTAATCCTCTCCATTTGACAGCCGACTCACATACTAAAAAGCTCCCTGTGATGATTTCAAGTGAATGTTTGACATGCAATTCAATTTTAAACTCATTTAGAGGATTAATTTCCCCACAAATAGGACACGGCAGACACACACACACACACACACACACACGCATGCATGCAGTCAGTAAGAAAGAGGAGCGCAAGTTATTTTTATTCCTGTAATCCTTCCTGCCCTCACCAAGCAGTGTCATTGCTTATTAGCAAACACTTCCTGTTTCTGCCTGATCCGATGATGCAGGCCTGCAGGTGTAACTGCAACATCTCCATCATCTCCACTGACACCAGCAAGCACACACACACACACACACACACACACACACACACACACACACACACACACACACACACACACACACACACACACACACACACACACACACACACACACACACACACACACACACACACACACACACACACACACACACACACACACACACACACACACACACACCACACACACACACCACTCACACGGAGGAAGGTTACAGTTAAAAATACACTTGGGATAACGTTGTTTCAGGGATTTGAAATAGTGGATCCTGCAGGTCTGAGCAGCCACGAGAGAAAGTCAGTGAATGTGTGCGATCAGATACAATGCCCATCTGCTTTGTTTCTATTGTGGTGTTACAATAAAGGCGGTTGTTATCTGGCCACTCAATCACAAACAGTATTAGCTGTGAAAAAATAGACTTATATTGGTACAGTGAGGGATCATTTAATCGCTAATGATGGCCAATCAACCCACCAGCTGTTCTTCATGATGACACATCGACTAAAAAACCAGACAACATGGTATTTTCCAGATGTTACGATCCTGTCCCATCTGCGGATCTCGAGCTGTTCTGTTTGCCATAATTTTACCTAAATAGGAAATGTCTTTGCTGAATTGATTAAGTCAGTATCTTACATTACTTACATTCCTGCCAACAATAAATAGTGTTACTGTACTTGAATTCAAAAGCTGATGCAATACACCGGGCAAACTGATGACCGATTGTGGCTAATCATAGTTACTGCATCAATAGTTTATCACCTGTAAATCATCACTTCAACAGTGTCATCACTCCACTCATCAATCGCACAAATCAGTGAAATAATGTTGAATCCTATTCAAACAATACACATGCTCCTCTCTAGCAGCCCAAAAAAGGAATATTAGTGGATATCATTTAAAAAATTGTGCACCTTTAATAGTAGATTAGTAGTAGTTCACCAGGGTTGCTAAATGTGAAAAGTAAATAAGAAAATGTCAGGACCATTCAAGATGAAAGTGTTTTTATGCATGCACTTTAGATCTGACACCTTTTAAACATCAAATGCAGCTAAGTTAAAAAAGATATCAAATTAAATTGTATTTCAAACAAAATACATTTAAGCACTATCAATGACCCATGTCCAAAATATATCCAAAAACTTTCAAAGCTTTGATTGTTTTACTAACATTTCAGAACTTTAAGGATTGGTTTCCTGACATTTTCTTTTTCATGTTTATGTATTCATGCCGGAGCACAGAAACCTAACAATGTCGACTTGAGTTAACTGTTGGAGGTGAATGTTCCTGACAGAGAGGATCTGATTCGTTGTGACGCTCTGAGGCCTTTGCTCCTCTGTCAGTCTGAACGCTGAGCTCGACTATTCTTTACTCACCAGCTCTGCGTACACCTGAAGATTCATCATCCAGACACACACAGATAACAAACAATCAGCAGCCACATCATTTTAATTACTAACACACTTCATCTGTCAGCATGGACTGGTAGCATAATAGCAATTCTGCATTATTGTGTGTACGTCTTGTCTGCATGTGTGTAAGCTATACTGAACCGGAGCTCCTTCTAATTTTGATAACAAAGAGCTAATACTTTCCTTTGAGCCTCATTATGAAGTCCCATGAGGACAAGGAATTTGTAATAGGATTATTGTTGTGATTAATTGTCCATTTTGTATGTGCGTGCTCTCACTTGGTCTCACAAAATCAGGGTGATTGCAATTGATTTCATGCAGTCTCTTACCTCAGGTCACAAGCACACACTCACACCTAAGGATTATTTGCTGCTTGAAGCTAACAAAACAACACACAGACTGGAGTTTATCAGTCAGCACTCCCGCTGGGCTGTGATAGTAAACACATCTAGTCAGAACACATTGCAAGCTTTCTCTGAATGTGTGTGTGTGTGTGTGTGTGTGTGTGTGTGTTTTTTAAGGACAGACCAAAAGACAGCCCTTGTGAATTCAAAGTGTGCAGTGAAGTGTTAGATCTACTCAAATGCTACTGGAAAAACAAATACGCCTGCAAACCAGCCTGTTTTAACTACATCCAGCAATGACTTTACGTCCTCATTGCTGGACAAAAGTATCAACCTCCACTTACAATATTCTACCTGTCACTTATTATGGCATCTTACTGTACATGTGCACATCAAGCCTGTCTGCACACACGAATGGCAGGGAAACAACACATGCTGCTTAGTAAGGTTTTGTGTGTGTTTGTAAACAAATGGTTTAAAGGTGGCCTTCAATGATTCTGATATTGGTTATTGGGCTACACCAGTCTATACAACATTAATGTGTGCTAGAAGTTTGTAAAGACCATATTGTGAAACAGTCAGGAAACACAGCAAGCTTACTGCTGACTGCAATGTTTCTAGAACCACACAATCATTTTTGCTTTTCAATATCTCCGCTTTAATCAGATGGCAGGTGTTCATGCCATAATGGAAAAAGACTGATTATTGACTCGCAGTTAAACACAGTGTATGTGACCTAGATTCAGCCAAAATAAACAGCTCGGAGCCTGTTTTAGCATTCCCCCAGATAACGCTGGGACAGCAAAGATCTCAGAAACTTTCAGGGTTTTAAAATCACTAACATATGAAACCATATTAAATGCTTAAAAGCAAACTTGCTGGCAAAAATGCATTCATAATCTAGTTTAGTCTGTCTAACTTGTGCTGCATTTTAGTGGATCCATACTCATTGGAGGTCTTAAAGTTACTAGATTTAACCTCCTGCAAGTAGGATCACACTTTTTATTTAAACCTGATTGTTGGCAATTGCAAGAGCAATGCTGTGATTTTAAAGTGATTTATGCAATTTAAAATGTTATGCTGTGGGTTTTTAGGCCTAAGTTCAGACAGTTTTCAGTCAGTTTAAATGAATATGCTCACTGTCTTATCAAAATGTGTCTCTGCTGGAATCTGATATTGGTCTAAAAATAATTTGAAGAGTCAAACAAAAAATGTGATATAAAGGGAAAAAAAGAGTTGCAATGTGAGAAAAAAACATATGAAACTTTCCAACTTAAATGGAGATGAATAGGTGTCCTGCTTATATAACTATTTAGCGTTATTGACAAAAGCCAACACAAGATTTAAAAAACAGGTAAAATTCACAAAGTTTAAACAAGTAATTTGATAAAGAGAATGATAAACAACAGTCATACAAGCAAGTAAGAGATTCATGGTAAGAAGCCTTTAATGTAGCTGAGGGTTGTTATGTGTTCACTGACCTGATTATTAGATCCACATAAGAACATAAGTTTGGATCAGAAGAGTAAACTGAGCAGAAAGCTGTTCTATCTTTGCAAATCTTACTCAATCTCAGCAGCTTGTTTTGATTAACAGATTGATGGAGCAGAAAATGATTGTTGGCTACTTTGAAAGTCACTTTGCTTTACACAAAGTGAAGTTTCTCTTCTGTGAGACTTCTGCTCTCAAAGCAGCTTCAAACAGCAGGGCTTTATTAAACTCAGGACTGTTGTCAAGCCTGGCTGTACTGAGGTTCTTCAATTGTTGTCACTTTGAGCCACATGAGAATGTGCAGCAGCAGTAACAAACTGAGACAAGCGAGTCACAAAACAACAGAGGAGCTTCAGTGTTTTCAAGCTGTTTCTTGCTCTGTTTGAGCGACACAAACGCTGTCAAGCAAGCTTGTGCATGTGTGTATTTACAGTCCATTTTAGTCTATGTAATCTACAGAGTAATGGCAAATTGAGTAGAGGAGAAGATATAAAGGAACGACAGAAGAGGGAGAGGTGTGTGGGAGATGCCCGCTTGTCTCGCTGTAACCACGGGGACATGCTTCACGTTGCTGTAGTGATTCAAGCGTGCATCCACGTTGCTGTGGTGACATGCCTCCTCTTGACAGCAGCAATGACGCCGCCAGACAGGAAAGGAAGAGTTTCTAAGACCATAATAAGATCCAGCGTGGGAGACACAGTCATTATGGTGTTACCTCTGCTGTGCAGCCAACACAAACATAGATTCTTGCACATGTGTTATGTACAGGTGTGTGTACAAATACAGCTGAAGCTAAAAAACTATTAAAAAACACTACCAGACATTACAGCTACCGTTAGAAAAAGAGGAGAGGAACAAGCTGAGCCCAAAGATGTTCCCAGCTCTTCCTCTGCTCAGTAAGCTGTGATTATGCTGAACTGGATGAGCAAAGTCTCGTTCCTCATCCCTACGTAAACCTACTGTGTTATCTTGAGCTGCGTGAAAGAGTTACACAAAATAGGAAATAGATTACATGATGTAGAAATCCGTTTGTAAGAAAATAACTCTTTCACAGAACCATGTGACAGTGTCAAAACTCTTCACATCATTTGGTTAGTCCAATTAAAATGACAGTTAATGTCAGTACAGACTCCACAAGAATCCAACAGATTGAGGACCACTCCTTTTTTTAATGGTTTTAAGGATTAGCTGACTAGATGTTTTTAAGAGGTGAATTTTAGAAGTGCATCCTGGCCACTCTGATTTAAAATTGCAAATAATAGCATATTCAATTTTAAAATCCTGTTGTGTGTGGGGAAACATTAGAAGTGCTAAAAGGATAACCCCATGTTGTTGTGCAGGGTCTTTCATATTGATTTATATCTTAAATACAGTTGAGAATTGGAAATGAAGTCTGTATAAGAAAATATATTCATATTGGCATTAAATAAACGTGCTGAATTTATGTTTGCCGGTTTAGTTAGCTGGACACTGACCTATTTATTAATTTAATTGGTATTGCTTTCATGGTGGTTGCATATAATTTACTTATTGGCATCTATATAATATAATTAAAGTTGATCTAAACTTGACTGAGTTTGGCCGTAATTGTTGATGAAGATTAGGTAAAAATATACTATTTTTGAGTAAAGAGGGACATGAACTCATAACACCTGCATGTTATCACACTAAGTATGTTTTGAATCGGTCCCTGCAACCGTGTTATGCAAGTCGGGTATTATACTGGCCTTTAAATAGTCAAATGCCCTGCTGGCCACCTATTAGCTAACGGCTGGTTTAAGACCTGAGGTGGAGATGGATGTTGGAGATGGATGTTCTTGTGCACATAACAGCTCCCCAGCCGCTATAACATCCTGTTTTTCTCTATAAGAGGCTTGTTGACATTGAGAGCTGTGACATAATTAAAAATAAAACATTAAATAATCAGCAGCTTTTACATTATGAAAGCCGGGCCGGCTAAAATGATTGGTCGTGCTTTTTACAGTACTACGGCTTCCACAGATGACATTTTTTATGGATTTTTTGTCAAAGCACTTAAGATATTCATTGCTATCGGGATGTTAAGAGCATTCTATGGAATATAAAATACAAACTTACCTACCCCAACTTTAATTAAAATATCTGTTAAAATAAAAAAATAATATTACTAATACAAATTAAAGAGGTTGTTTTTCAGCAACGAATAGTTTTACTCTGACTACACTAAGTACATGTTACTGATTTTGGATGCAAGACTTTCACCTGTAAACTAATAGGGTGTTTTGACACTGCCTAATTAAATAATGGACCTTATCACTTTTTTTTTAATTCAAGTAAATGCTTCTTCTACTACTGATACAGTACCACTTTTGCTCTCTTGTTGGTGAATGCCCATAAAACATTCCTAATAAGCTTATTTAAAATCCAAAGCTCTCGTAAATGACTACGAAATTCAACTGAAAACTTCAGCTAGAACATTTTGACAACAGTTGCGCACACAAACCTGACACCTGGATGTTTTAAATCTCCTCTCATGTGAAAACTTCTACGCTGAACTCATGCAAACTCATAGGCTGCTTTGAAGGATGACTCCTCTGTCACGACATTACCTCACTCTGCACCTTTCAACTCAAATAAAATCCTCCTGGTTAAGACTTAATGCAACTTAAAGGGACAGCGTGTTAAAGGGTTTTGCAACCAACTGATTACCCTGCATAAATGGACACCAAGTACAAAACCGTGACGCTTTGAGGCCCTTTAACTTCATCGGATGCAATCCTTACCATTATACTCATTCAGGAACAATTACAATTCAAGCAGCATAGGCATACCAGTTAACATGTGTGAAAACTAAAGTGGTCTTCAGGTAAGGTAAAAACATGAAAGGACTCCTCTAGAGCTAGATCCTGGTTGTGTTGCAACATGGCCAACTCCAAGAAAGAGGAACAACTCCCTATAGATATCAAGTAATCATTTCAAGATAACAAAAAACACAACTATTCTTAGTTTCAATTGATAAATACACTTGTGAAAACATATTGTAATCAATTTCTGCAAAGACGTACGTTGAAATACAACCAACTGGCTCTTCAAGAGATGTAAGTAAGTCATGGGTTTCTTGAAAGGCGCTATAAAATCCAAGTCATTATTATTGTTATTATTATTATGCATGCTCCACAATAACATGTCATCTGTATTTGGGTTGACTGATTCCACTTCAAACTGCACACATGGTGTTTTAAAGCCCCCCTCACCCACCTTCATGATTGTGTGCTAATCTCAACCTCGTCACAACACATAACAGGTCACAGTGCTGCTGAGATGAACCCAGAGGAGGTTTAAATTAATGAAATTACATATGCAGCAACATTGCCCAGAGGGGCTCCACAATGATTCATCACCATGTGTTTGAATGGGTCCGCTGTAGATTACATAAATAAGTGGGAAAAGTATGACGTGATACATGACTCATAAAGGAGCAGTTTTGCCCTTCTTAGTGTCACCCAAACACCGACAGTGAACTTACTCTCTGTGATCTTCTGCAAGCCCAGAACATCCTCCGGGGTGATCACCGGGCTGCCGTGCAGGTCCTCCTCGATGGTCAGCGGGATCCCAACCTCGGTGGAGTTGCAGCCTTTCTTAACCCTCATCACTTGCTTCGGGCTGCCGTTACCGCTGCTTGCTGTGCCTCTGGTGTCTCTGCCCGGATTGTTACCGACAGGCTTCTTAGCTGTTGCCGGGTCCTGGCTGTTGCCTCTGCTGGTACAAGAATAGCTCATTCTCCGCTCCTCCTCCCCCCGACTAACCCAGGGCTTCCAAGACACTAAACAGTTGCCTCCCCTCTCTCCCTCCCTCGCCGAAGGATGCACACTTGCTGTATGTTATCCGGTGCTTAATTCAAATCCGCTTCGTCTTCATGAGCCTGCAGTCTGTGTCTGAGCATGCAGAGCGGTGCAGGTTGTCTAAGCGCAGTGTTTGGTGAGGAGAGCGCGGGGACCTCTGCTGCTTTTTTGGCGCAGCTGCTCTCCAAGGCGCTGTTTCTCTTGTGTCAAGGGGAGCTAGAAGTATCAGGGAAATAATCTGCTGTTTGAAATTGAAAAAGAGGCGGCAGATGGTCGTTGCTGTCAAGGAGGGAGGGAGGGGGAATGCTGCTGCACGCAATCTGCGCTTCAACCGACAAAATGCGCGCATCAAACATGCAGATGACAAATGGGCTATTAATGAGAAAGTGTCATTTTGAATTCATCGGCCCTTTTGTCATCTGAATTTTTTAAGGCCATAAACACAGCGAAAAGTTCATTCAAACATAAGCATTAAGTCGTTAAACAAACACAGACGTAGGTTTATAAGGTAAAGTCACATTGATTACGAAACAACGCTTTCCGAGCTGAATGATAGGCCTATCAAGTGAGTCTCATTTCTAGAAAACCTCAAATAAGGGACTGGGGCAGACTGATGTGCCGACATAAAACCAACTGACAAATGTTTGAACACGGAAAAACACACATAAGGTCAACCGGGTGTAACATTTTGATTGGATAATTGGTTAAAGGATTTCAAATCAATTGGATAATGGGTCCGAGCATGCGATCCCAAAGCAATGTCAAAGTGCCACACCCCCTGGATCATAATCACACCAGAAACAAAAGAAAACATGTTGTGTGTAACAAAAAAGTAAAAGTGGAATCAGGCCTACAAAGAGTACAAGTATAGGCTTATTGCATACATCATGTGAAATAAACTTGAAAGAAAAGGTTAAACCTTAAAACTGTGAATCCAAAAGGCCACTGTGCAGAGTAAATTGAAAATATCACCACCTCTAGGAGGGAGAGGGTACTGTTTTCTAGTTACTATAGGATTGAATGCAAGACTGTTGCTTGTAATGGAGTATTTTTTACACTAATGTGTTGGCAGCACTGATTGTAATACAACTAGCCCCCTAAAAGTCTACCTGCAGCCTCATCAACCAAATATTATAAAATACTTTGATACATTCAGCTCTGCATTTCCTCTAGATTTATAGATATGTTCACTGCGGTGTAAATAAAATACGTCAGACCGTTGTAACCCATTGGTAGGAGCTGAAGAGAGAACAGAATGGAAACAACTGGGGAGGTTTCAATTATCCGATTTATGTCTCTCTCTCCGTCTTTACTGATGCATGTAAAGTCTCTGCATGACTCACGGGAGATCTCAGTCACACATGACTATCCATCACAGCCCTGCAGTGGCCCTGTGTGTGAGGATAACAATAACCAAGCAACTGTAGCTGCAACAGCAGCCACACCAGCTAAGCCCCTGTTACAGTAAGACAAAGAGTGGCCTATATATTAAGATTATAAGGAGATTTCAGGTCTGTGAGTAAGTCCAGGAAGTCCTTTTCCAGCTGCATTAATGCTTCATATGGCTCTGCACTGTAGGCTATATATGTAATGATGTTTTATAGTATAATACTGTAAATTAGGCCTATATATAAACAATATATATATTGTAAAAAAAAAAGGCAAGTATGCAGTTTAACTAGTTTGGAGTGATAACATGAGTGAATTACATGACATTGTTAAGGCCCTAACCTTTACGGTGTTGTGTGGATGTACTGTGGGTATTAGACGGTTATTGACCGCTAACTGGTATTTATCTCTTGCAAACCGCAGATGTTTACCATGATATTGTAGGCTGTACCCTGATTGGCCAATAGGAGAAATGCACAAAGCTGCTCTCAATCGAGCCAGTCCCCACTGATCTGAATTAACCTCAATCCAATCCAAGAAAAAACAATTACAATGACTAAAGATGAGGTTGCTGCAGCAGGTTGGTCTGTGAACGTATAAGAAAGGGAGGTGTTGTTATGTTCATTGAGAGTCACTGTCACTGTGGGCTCTTCACATCGGCCTGCTGAGTTTGCTAGTCCCTTTGTCACGTCTGAGCTGCTGCTGCTATCATCAGCAGAAACACACACACACACACACACACACACACACACACACACACACACACACACACACACACACACACACACACACACACACACATAATCTGAGCTGAATACATATATTGATAAGAAACATATTATATTCAAAATATTCATCTTATTATTTCTATACATTCTACTCTCTAGTACACAGAGAATTACATGGATACACACTCACACACATAGACATACACACACCCACACACACACACACACACACACACACACACACACACACACACACACACACACACACACACACACACACACACACACACACACACACACACACACACACACACACACACACACACATGCACAGACAGAGAGTCTGGCTAATGTGCTGACCTATGTAAGCCATTCCTAAATGTGTATTGTGCAGTGCTTTCTGTTTGTTCGCTCTTTGCTTTCTTACTTTACCCAATTAATTATTGCTGTGTTTTTGCCGTGACCAATTAAAGAGTTGGATTCAATATCCAACTCAGCCACTGTCCTTCTGTTTTAAATCCAATGTAAATGTCATTGATCCTGTTTTTTGAGCCATCAAGAAACTTGGTATTATGTTTCAGGAAATCAGATTACGGTTGAAAGGCATTTTTTAAATGAGTCAACACACAGTGTAGACAAACAATTGATCTGAATCCTTTCACAAACATTAATAATAAAAAATCACGCACAGCCAAGCAGACTTGATGTGTTTTAGCTATGATGGACATCCTTTAAATATGTTCGAAAAACACATACTACAGACTTAAACAAAGATAAGGTATGTGAAGAAATAAATTAAAAGGGATAGAATACAAATACATTTTCAAATGGTCTACTAGACAGATCAATACACATGTTTGTAGTGATGTACTGTTAGTTCAGCACTCTCATCAGTCTGCGTACAAATGACACGACTTTGCAAAGGCGTGCAATAGATACGCAGAAGTCCGATTTTGCGTGCATATGATACGCTGATATTGCATCTCAAACATTAAAACAAAGAGCTGTGTGGCTTCAGGCTTGATCGCCGTTCCAATGACAGTTTTAATGTTTGCGGTGCAATAAACGACACAGCAGCTTATTGGGTTATGGTTAGGGATAGGGTTAAATAAATGGCAAAGATATGTAGAAAATAAACGCATTTAATAACAAACGTAACGTGGGAGAAAATTGTAGAAAAAAAAGTATTTGACATAGGTTCATAACAAACGTAACGTGGGAGTATCATATGCACGCAAAATCGGACTTCTGCGTATTGCACTTTGCAAAGTCGTGTCATTTGTACGCAGACTGAAGAGAGTGGGCTGGTTTGTTAGACACACCTTTCTTTTGATCTACATGTTTACATGGGTATGAGTTGGAAGATTTACATTTTTGTAATTGTTACAGAGTAAAAAATGTATCGTAAAGGATTTGGGAGCACTGAGAAAAACACACTCCACACTATTACGTCATACAACACAAATTGATTACAGAAACACACGTGAAGGAAAGCTAATATTTAAGTTATAATATTTTAAGCAAAGATTTTTTTAAATTTATAATTCCTTATTATAAACATGAGCAAGTGTAAAACATGTGATTGGTTCAATTCATGTATTAACTCAAATATATGAATCAAGCGCTTTGAGCATCAGGAAAAGCGCCATATAAATAACATGTATTGTTATTATTACTAATATCACAACTAGGGTTATCTCATTTTATAAATCTGAATATCCCAATAAAACATGAATCCTAAAAAAAAAAGATTGGATGAACCAAAAAATCATAAAGAAACACAAACAGTATCTCTACTTTCAAACTGGTGGAGAAAGCTACCTGTTTTTTTGCCAGCATATAGATTTACCACCATGCAGTATAGACGTGTGTCCTCTTTGTGTTTGCTTGAATCACGGTGTGTCTGTGCGTTAACCCCTCTGTGGCTCAAACAACAAAACAATGGAGTCCAAAGCAAAGTGCTGACATGAGTCCAGCGTGCATCGCCCCCCGGCCCCTGTCACCCATGGGTGTATATAAACTCCCACACACACCTTCTCGGCAGATCGTTCAGTGGAACTCTACGAAACACAGTTCACCAGTTTGGGTAGGTCAAACTAGTTAACAATACAGCACAGTTTCCCAATCTATGGAAGTGATATAAGGCTCTCTAATGCAATATATCAGCAGCTAGTCTTAAATAGCTACAGTGAAGACAGAGTGGCTTGTTTTTAATCTTTACTGCAAATAATGGAGTCATATTTTAAAACAAATCAAAGATAGAAAATAGGAGCTTTATGCTGTCGTTTTATGTGAGAAACAAGCCTTAGAGAAAGCTAAAGTGCCGCCCAGAGCAGCATACAGGATGAAAAAAAAGTTGTTATTCGTTATTCAGGTTGGTTTTTTACTTCTGTCCGAGGGTCTTACTTACTTTGAATTTCTCCACAGATACTCCTGAAAAACTAGACAAAATGGCTCAGATTAACCCCATGCCCATGGGCCCTTGGAAGGTAAGCACACGCCCAACACTACATTACCCATCAGCATTATGCACAGTTTGAATTGTTATGCCATATTTGGGCAACTGTAGACTAACTTGGGCATTTTGTCGTGTTTTTTAGATCACCGTGTACGATCAGGAGTACTTCCAGGGAAGGCGTATGGAGTTCACTGCCTGCTGCCAGAACATCATGGAGTGCGGTATGGAGAACATCCGCTCCCTGAAGGTCGAGTGTGGCGCGTAAGTTCTCAGATAACCTCACTTTTTGAAATCCTCAACAACAAAAATGGAGCAACTTTATTTCTGAAAGTGTGCTGATTTTTTTATGGTTTCCTGACTTTTTTTCATTCTCTGCTTGCAGCTGGGTGGGCTACGAGCACTCCAGCTTCTGCGGCCAGCAGTTCGTCCTGGAGAAGGGAGACTACCCTCGCTTCGAGGCCTACAGTGGCAGCAACTCCTACCGCATTGAGAGGATGATCTCCTTCAGGCCCATCTGCTGTGCTGTATGTTTAACACTCAACCGAGTTACAACCCTTTAAGCTTATTTTAGGCTGAGCTACATCTCAAATTGTGCTGAACCTCTTTTCTTCTCCTTTGTACAGAACCACAAGGAGTCCCGTATGACCATCTTCGAGAAGGAGAACATGAGCGGTCGTCAGTTCGAGCTGTGCGATGACTACCCCTCTCTGCAGGCCATGGGATGGATGAACAACGAGGTTCAATCCATGCAAATCCAGGGTGGAGCGTAAGTCCATCTTCCTGATCCTTGATCTGAAGCTTTACACACCTTCAGTTAGTCCTGAGCAACAAAACGCACTCTGACTGGAAATACTGTACACACATTAGCTATAGGAACTTGTACCTACTTACATAACTTTATGTTGCATTTAATAAGCATGTTCTTGTTTTTTCCTGCAGTTTTGTGTGCTACCAGTTCCCTGGCTACCGTGGCTACCAGTACATCATGGAGTGTGACTGCCGCGGAGGAGAGTACAAGTGTTACCGTGAGTTTGGCTCCCACTCCCAGACTCCCCAGATTCAGTCCATCAGGAGGATCCAGCACTGAGAAGGGAACATTTCCATCAGACTTCCTCATCTTCTCCTACTCTTCCTCTTCTCCTTCCTCCTGCACTTCCATCCTCCCTTCTCTTACTTTTCTCCCCCAACCTCCATCTCCCCGGCCCCGTCGGTCCGGCTAGTCAAAGCAGGATCCCTGGCTGGACTTCAGGTGCTTACTGGTGTCAGTTGTTCACAGCACTTTTGCATTTTTTAAAGAAACATCAACAAAAAGAGGAAAGATGTAAGAAAGACAGAAAACAGGAATGACAGAATTGATTGAATAGGCTGAATCAGTTTGAAAGAGATGCAACATCTGCCGAGGTTGGCTGCAGAACGGTGAAAACACCTCAAAGTTTTTGCTTTTTTTCATCTCCACCATTGATGGCATCATCATCATCATCTTCATCGTCATTGTTTTCTACGGCAACATGATCACCAGTCTTGCTGTTACTATGATTTCCATGACTGCCTGTGTTCAAGACGATGAATAAAGAGAATGAGAAAAGAAACAGAGAGATTCACAATACGACTGATGTACTTTAATCATCTGTGTCTTGTCTTTATATAGTGTCACTTTGACACCACTGGTGAGCAGCAAAACTCAAATTACAACCGTCGAAACTTAAACTTAATAAGTAAATCCCATTTACAAATTGTTGAAATATGGAATTCATTTCTTTAGACCTCACTGATCTGTCAGAAGGTTGTTTAAATGCAAGAAACTTAAATACAATTGGTCTTGGTGTCAAATATCCAAAATGACCAAATATGTCAGACAACATTTTGGGGAAATGTCCATAAAATGACACTTCTTAAATACAAATCATTTTGCTTCAACAAAGAGCTGGGATAAGTTAACACAGAATATATAAAATGTCAACTAAAATGAACAACTTACAATGACATTTTAAAATAAAATACATGAAAAGGTTACATTTTCACAAACGACATACATTAAACAAAAATAACAAAATAATACATTATTACAGTTTAAATTGGGAGCTCAATGGTCAGAAGCATCGCCCCAGAACTATAGGCGAATAAACTAAGATTGACAGAAACCAAGACTAAGGATATAATAATAATGAATTATTAAACAAATAATTCATTAGTTTATTTATTTTTATAATCTGTCACATAAATGTAGTGGAATTAACTGCACAATCTTTTCCTCTGAGATTTAGTGGAGTAGAACAAGTTTACAATACAATAAAGTGGTAAGTAATTCAAAATGAAGCTACTTAAATAGCCTGGATATATAAAGCTTAAAGACTGCACAAAAGCCATGTTGAGTATAGCTGCATAAGCAATTTAATTAAATCATCAGCCGTTCTGCCATTTCAGTTTTGCTGACTGTAATTGATATAAGTGAATTTCACTGATAATATTGAAGTTCTGTTATGACTTTGAAATCTGAATCCATTACTTATAATGGGAGGTTTTATTTTGGTAGCCTACTTGTACTATAGCCCACTTTAGTAGATGAACAGTCATCGATATGGAGCTACATCAAGGAAAACAACCGTTTTGTTGTCCAGAGACGAGTGTATTTCAATTATTAAGCAATGAGGCTATTAGGCCTCTCTGGTGTTGTGTTTCACATTTTGACCCTCGGGATGATATAATGATGAGAGATATTGATTTGGTTCAGTAAATGGTTCACTTGCAGCCGGAATCCAGCAGAGGACGCTGTGGCTCAAATTATAATTTGCGACAGTTGGTTCATCTTGGCGGCTGATGGTGACATGTCAACAAACATGGCGACCAGCAGCAACTACTGGGAAGGTACATTGTGTTTCAGCATCTAATTTATAAAAACTGTGCAAATGTACATCTGTTATTGTTTTACCGAATAAGGTCAGACACATTTAACATGTTCCGTGAGACGTTAAGATAATAAACGTTGCCGAAAAGGAATATCTTCAGCTGTTTTAGGCTAACGTCAACCTGTTAGCTTGTTGCGTCGAACTTTAACAGTTTACGTTATTAAGCTCTGTAAGTTGCTTTTTTACTCGATACGTTTAATGCAATAATTGCATTGTTAGCTTTGTTGATACTGTCTAGTGATGGCGAAATGAAGCCTTATGAAGCTTTGAAGCTTTCCAGCCAATTGGTTGCAAAAGGGTTCATCTCATGAGGCTTCATCATGGGCTTCATTTGAACACAAACCCCCTGTTGGTCAAAGTGTGTAAAACAGGCAGATTGGACATCTCAACAGTGTGCTCTATCTCATACCGAGTTCCCAATGAGTAAAGCTTTAGAATAACTCTAAACAACGAACATTAAATCATATTTTCATGTTAACAATATTGTTTTTATTCCAGTTGAATGATTGTGATTGAAAAGCCTAAGGAGGCTGGTAAACATTGCAAAGAGGGATTTGTATTCCTTAATAATATTCGTATACGTAACCATGTAGCCTGAGAAAGGCTAAACCATATCAAAGAATACATTTATTAACTACATTATCTGATTTAGCTGTAGCTTTTATAAACAACAAAAAAGACGTATTGTTCAGTCGTTGAACCAGGGACCCTGCGGTCGTGAGTCAACTGCTTTCCAGCTGAGCCACAGCACGCACGCTGAATTCCACCGAAAACACTGCACTATATTTATTCCTGTATTTATTCATTTATTTATTCATGTTTTTTTTCCTACATTTATTTATGCTTGTATCCATTTATACTTGAGACATGTTCCGACCTCTATATAAGTGAGGGTCTGAGCTCTTTTAATTCCATCGTGTCACCGGGCCCGGGTACAGGAGGGGTAATATGGTTCTTATTATACATCCATGGGTAATATCAGCGTTGTGGTTAAATGGTTCAACCGATCTGAATCGCTTCCTGAAGCAGTCACGTGGTATCGACAGGCAGCGAGGCTTCGTTTGTCATCGGTGACGTCACTGGTCCAAAACGATACAAGCCTCGATACAAGCTTCATAAAAAGCTTCGGGGATTACTCGACACACGCTTCGAAGCCTCGGCGCAATACGTAACATCACAAATACTGTCCCCTTTTTGGTTTGTAGTATTAAAGAGCTTGATTACAAATTCATTTATAGTGATAAAAACATCTCTTCAAGTTTTTAACAGTAAAGTGCTGTTTTAAATGTAGCTACTCCTTTCAGGTGCTTACATTTTACACAGGTTTGTTTAACTCACCTTGGCTCATTGACCCTTTGCTACCACTTTGCAGACAAAAAGAAACAAGTAGCTAGAATTTTTAACAACAACTTAATTCAATGTTTTCTCAAGTATCGTCAGCAGTAAAAACAAAGAGTTTGAATTATGCATTGTTTTCTTTGTACTTCTTAATCCCGTTTAAAGTAAAGACTATACAACCATGAAGACAAACACCACATCATTTGTTCTGATGGGTCTAAAGTTTTGAAATCTGTTACAGACATACTTTGTGTCTTACAGTACAACTTAAAACTATTAAGAAAAACGCAACCATTAAGTGTTTTCTTTTTAAAATGTCTTTGTTGCAAATGTTATATTTGTATTGTAGTGTATTGTATAATGCCTCTTATCTTGTCCACTTCCTATTGCCAATTTTCTCTATTTTTAAATAGAAACTTTTGGTCAGTTATGAAATGTCTTATTCCATCAAAAGATGTTTTTCTTGAGTGTTTTTTCTGTTTTTTCACCCAGATTTGCGTAAACAGGCCAGACAGCTGGAGAATGAGCTGGATCTCAAGCTGGTGTCCTTCAGTAAACTCTGCACCAGCTACAGCAGTAGCAGCAGCAAGGACCAGAGCACGAGAGACAGCAGGTCGACTGATAAAACTCATTTTACGTTAGCAATGTGAATGTACTCTTTACTAAGCTTGGATATAGAAATTAACTGAGTTTTTTGTAATAGTTTGTATGACAGAATGTTTTTATTTTACTTGAACTAGTACTTTATTATCCTTTCTTTTTTTCCCTTGAATCAGGACTGGTTCTGTCGGCTCATCTCAAGACAATATGCTCGTGGCCATGACAACTGAGCTGGAGCAGCAATTGGCCAATGTAAGTCAAATATCACACATATATGATGGGATATAGGGTCCTCTCCAGAAGCAGCCATACAGGCTCAAGCCCAGGGGACAGAGTCGATGTGATGCTGAAAATATTTAAGGGAATTTCATTATTAACAATATTTGTTTACATAAAAAATCAGCCAAATCTGATTGTGTCATCCTGTGATTGTATGTCCTGCAAGCACTACAGTTTATATTTCAATTACAAACTAGATCAGAATTGAGGTTTATGCATATTATTATACATTCGTGTTTACTTTGAAATTTAATTTCACTTTCGTATTCTCTATTTTGAATTTTTCCAAGGAATTCAAATACTACTGAGACGTTTAAGATCGCTTACTACCAAAAGTGTATGTTTTAATGTCTCCTTGCATTTATTGTTATCCTTTTTGTTTTGCAGCTTTCAGCAGTCAATGACAAAATGGCCGAGTACACAAATACTCCGGGAGTTGTATCGCATAACGCAGCCCTGATGCACACCTTACAGAGACACAGAGACATCCTACAGGTAAATGCCATTACTTCACTTATTTGTATTTGGTATTTTCTGTGGTTGAAAAGTGTTTCAGCTGCACATGTAAATATTTTTTAAATGTATCTTTGTTTTTATTTTTTATTTTTGTTTTATCCCACAGGACTATACTCATGAATTCCACAAAACCAAAAGCAACTTCTTCAGTTTGCGAGAGCGAGAGGACCTACTAGGCTCTGTTCACAGAGACATTGAGTAAGAACCTTTTGACAATAAAAATACAATGTGTATGTTTATATTTTGATATATGCTATAACCTGTATTAGTTTCAGTGGCTGTCATTGACTCATTTCTTTCTTAAGAAGTAGTCTACTCTGCTCTGTTGAAAATATGAGCTTTTCTTTCATTCCATAACCCTAATCCTGTTGTGATATCAGCACTAGTATATGTAAGTATTACCCTGAACCTTCTCAGAGTGAAAGTGATGTATTTAAATAGCTTTAAAGTCCAAACATTTACAATTGTAGGAGACAAAGAAAACCAGTGAATATTTGACCATTTTTGGAAAACAACTTTACCATCAATTGATTTAAAAATGTTTACAGATACATTAAACTGATCATTACAGCTCTTAATCCATATGTTGTTTTTAATGATTTAATCAAACCAAACAAAAAAAGATATTCAAACGTATGGTATCTGTATCTTTTAAATGTAATTTCATTAATGTATTTCTTTTTGTATCTGGCTCTCCTAAATATCCCAAATCTCTTCTTTTCCTTCTTTCCCTTTCCCCCCTGCTCTGTAGACGTTTGTCCCTCAACCAGAAGGAGGCAGAAATGTCCAGTTTGTTGTTGATCTCCCCACCCTTGGATAATTTCCATCCTTTCTATCACGTTTCATCCTCTAATGAGAGGCACCTCCTCTCATTGTCTCCTTCATTCTCTCCATCTCTCTCTGTGTATCTTGTATCCCTCTCTCTTTCTCTGGGGATATATTTCCTAAGTGCCTTCTACAGTAAATCAAACCACAAGGCTTTCATTCAGCCCAAACGGAGGGAGAGTGGTTACATTTGGCCAGCCTGAGAAATGCTTTATCAGGAGAGGAGAGTGAGAGCAGCACAGAGAGGAAAGGGGGGGAGACACTTCCCTGATCTGATGCTGACTGATTACAGCCATGATAAGAGTCTATTGTAATTATTCTCATGGAGGTGAGCTGTATGGAGGAACAGTGAAGAGAGGGGGGGGCAGCAGAAAAGGAAAGGGATGATTAATTGATGATCTAAATAGTTATCATGAATTCAGTCCAAATAGGGAGGGGACAATGTAAATAAGAGATGGATGAGTTGTGGGTTAAGCAGAGCTAATCACTTAAAAGCCTTGACGCAGGAAGTACGTAATCAGCATCAAGTCATCAGTTAATAGGAGTGAGTGAAATAATTCTGCATGCTGAAGTAAAGATGGAGGAGAAACTTGTTTCTTACTTCTTCTGTAAGCCAACTGTCAAGCTGCTTAATGGGTCAAATAAATAAAACCCTTCACATCTGAGTAATATGATATAAAGACTCTTGCCTGCTTTGTGGCAACTGGATTTATATTGATCAACTTGTTGATGTCGTTCTGTTTTCAGACCAACGTTTCAAGCAATGTTTCTTAACATCCTTTGGATAGATTGCCATGAAATGATCTACACTCCCTCATTGACCCCCTCAGGATGAATTATCATAATTTTGGTGTCGCCTTAACTTTAAAAAAATCATTTAATCATCATTCAACGTCTCTCAATTTCTCAGGTCCTACAAGAGCAGCACAGGAGTGAATAACAGGAGGACTGAGCTCTTCCTGAAGGAACATGAACATCTCCGAAAGTAAGAGATTTCTATAAAAAACATTTTAACTTAGAAACACATTCGAACATGGAGCCGAGGGCTACAGCCAAGATCGTATATAAGCGACTTTGTGTCCCAGAAAATCCCTATAAAAATCGGATTTATTATTATTATAAATGTATTGTCCCTCCTTCATTATTACAGTAGCCGCCATTTTATTTAAGTGTTTGAATTTGGAGTATGATTACCCAAAACTGGACATGTGGGGCATTTTATTGTGTGATAAAACTGCATATTTTAGAGTGGGCTTATATTGTCATAAGCCCGGGGCACACCTGTGTATTAATCATGCTGTTTACTAAGCATGTTGGTATCCCACATGTCAGGTGGATGGAGTAAGTTGCCAAATACGTTGATTTTACCCAATGTGTGCTCATTATTTGAGAGAAATTGAGATTTTGTGCACAAAAAAAAGTTTAAAATGGAAGCTCAAACAAAAGTATCTTTGCTCAAAGTGTCCTTCCCAGCCCTCATCTTAAAACAAAGAGAAAGGGTGACACTTTCTTTAATATCAAATTCATAAAAAGCCTACATTTTAGCTGTGTGGTTCATGATCTGTTAAAGAGTAGTTCCATAAGAGAAAAAAGGAATTGAAAAAGGAAGGAGAGAAAGATAGAATAGCAGAAAAAACAACAACATTGATCATAAACAGCCGAGGCATTAACAGTAAATATCAGCAGACTCACAGGACACATTAAAACGGAGTCCTGTGTGACCAGTAAGTCTGTGCTCTTACCTCGGCTAATGTTAACGCTGTTCCCTGAACCCAGTGATCCTGAGTTGGTACCAACAGTAACATTACTGACAGTGCCAAACTGCATTTGGCTGTGATTGGTCCTGTTGAAATGACAGGATTTCAAGAGATTGAAACCAGTAAATCAAGCTCAGATATGTGCTGTAATAACCTCTGAAACATGAGTAATGATTTCAAAATAAACCACCCACTGGCCACAGCCTGAGAGAAAGATAACCCTGCTGTCACCGTGCAGTCGTTCCTTTCTCCAATGTGCTCAGTTTATTCCAGAAACACACATTTTCCACCCAGAGAGATATTTTCTCAGATATCACCTGGAGAGGAAAGACATCAGAGAAGAGGACGTTATGAAACCCTTCAGAAACATAACTTTATATGCTCAGATTAATGTGCAGTGAAAAGACTTGTGTGCAGAAATTGAACCAAGGTTTGTGCAGTATATCAATAATATATCGATGTTGTGATATGAGACTTGATGTTGTCTTTAGATTTTGGATATCAGAGTATCCCTTGTGTTTTGTTTCCCGGTTTTAAAGGCAGCATTTCAGTGAAGTGGTGTCTTTTTCTGTAATCACCGGACTGGCTGTCTATCATTTCCCTTTATCCACTTTGTCATTAAATCCACATTTTGATTACTTTTCAAAATTCTTATTGTGAAAATATTCCTGGAAAGCATTAATGGTCAACTACCTGATATGGATATTCTGGCATTTGGTAAAAAATGTGAATTTAATCGTATTGCCCTGTCCTAATTAAACGTTGCTTCAACATCGTACTCAGTCTCAACACCTGTCTTTCCCTGATTGCCAACAACAGAAATATATGTTTTGTTGTGCTGGTGTGTTTTCAGTTAAATCATTATAATAGTCTTGACTAAATATCAAAAACTAAAAGTTTAAACCCTCAGGACAGGACAGAATGGTTTCCCACCTAAATGTAATTGTTGTCAGAGCAACCATGTTTAAACCTTTACACATCCCTATGCTTTTAACCAGGCGATCAAGAACAATCAATTTCAATAATAGATTATTTTATTTAAGATAATTTGTTGATGTACAGTTATTAAGATAAATGTTTTATGACGTACAGGTTTTGTTTTGTCGATATAATGTAAATTCATTTAGTAGTTTATTTTGTTTGTAAATCTGCTGCCTTGCTGTCATGAACAGAACAACAAAGGCAAGCCTCCAGCCTACTGTCACACTCGGACAGGTAGACGTCTGAAGCACATGATGTTGAAAATGTTTTTTTTCTCAACTGAGTTTTGAAGCTGTAAACCTCGAAGCGTTGCAAAAGTGTCACCGTCAAACAAGGCAGGTGCGTTCAAAGCAGGTTTTACAAACCGGTGATCAGACCACTTTGTGAAGTAGTTTCTTGTAGATCAGTAGTCGCTTGTAAAGAGAGAGAAGATAAAGGAGCCCAAAGAAGGCAATCTGCAGAGAATAGAAAGCGTAGGAGAGCATCAGACAGATAGTGGGAGAGATGGACGGATAGATGAGGAGGAAGTATGAAGCGCAGTATTGATTTTCGGTCTCCAGTGGAGTCGGCCAGGATGCACGCCGCTGACCTCGGCTCGGCTCTGACTGAACACTTCATTTTTCTCCCCGTCACTTATCCCAGCAGCTAATGGCCGCTGATGTAAACCTCCTGTGTGAGTTCAGTGTCCGCTCCGCTGTGTGCACCTAAAACAAATAACACCAGATCAGGTTACCGTCTATGTGTTCATTGCATTTTAATATGTCATCATTCAGTTTATTTCTCTGATGGCTTGAAGGTCCTTCAGAGAGGGTTTGTGGATATACAGTCATCATTCAGAGTCAGCCTGTGGTGTGGGCTCTTATCCCTTTTATTATTCTCATTTAGTCAAGTTTACTTACATGTCAAGTTTTGTAGTTTACTTCACAGAAATCTAAATTCTTCTCCAAATGTGTTAACTGTGAGACACAATGCTAATGAATGCAAGCGTTGTTATATAATTGAGATGAATTGGCTTCAGCTTGGATGGAAGCTTGTATTTTACCAATCACATTCTGACTTTCCAAAAAAGCCTCCATTAACCAGCACTTTTCTCCCAGTCTCGCAGGATTTGCAGGAAGTGCTCCTTTTATGATAATAGACTCTAAGAGCTGTGTGGTTTCATACTGTAGCACGGGCTTTCCCTGCATCCTGTTTCCTGACTCTAAAACCAGGAGATATGCCGTTTATATAATATATAAAGAACGTTTTGTTTTAAAGTGATGGACGGCAAAGGATTCATGCAATTGTGGAAGTATTTATATGGTTTTAGGTATGGTTCTCGTGTCTACTGTATATAACTAAAAAATAACCTTTTTTGAGTCGATTTGATCTGACTTTACTCTTTTTGATCTCTTCTTTTTTCCTGTTTTTCTGTTTACAGCTCAGATAGTCTTATTGACAATGCAATAAGGTAAGATGTATTGTTCCTCCCTTCTCTTTCTTCATTCACTCACTCAATTTACACACACACACACACACACACACACACACACACACACACACACACGCACATTCAGGTCTATTAGAGCAGACCAATCCTGCCTGCCTTCTTTTTAGCTGAGCTGAAACATTACTCGGTGATGCTGTGAAGACGGATGTGTGCATCTTTTCCCATCAACTAATCCCTCGTGTTTTCTTCTCCTTCCTACCAGTATCGCCATGGCTACCAAAGAGAACATCACATTTCAGCGTGGGATGTTTAAGTCCATTCAAACCAGGGTCACAACTTTGGCCAGTATCCTTTAATCATTTCGATCATGTGTCTTAGTTTTCTTTCACCTGACGTTCTTTACTTAGTTTTCTATCTTAAGCTGATATGACTCACACCATTAAGCTCCATTTACTCCTATTTGTGTTGGGATCAGCGCTGTTGTTTTTCCCTGCTGCTTTACTGTCTCTAACTTACTGCGAGAAAGGACAGGCTGAGTTTGAACTGAATTATTTTCCTTCACCATACTTCCCCGCCCCTCAGATCGCTTCCCCACCATCAACAGTCTCATCCAGAAAATAAATTTGCGCAAGAGGCGGGACTCTTTAATTCTAGGCGGGGTGATCGGCGTCTGCACCATCCTCCTGTTGCTCTACACTTTCCACTGATTCGCTGATCTGCTGACGGACCATCGCTTTCTTAAAGAAAAAAAAGATTCATTGCATTTTGAGGCATTTTAAATGTTTTCATATTGCTATTTCCTACGCTTAAGCATCAGTTTAACAAGTCTTAATTGAAATTGTTCAACTCTCAGTTCAGAGTTTATTTATTTTTGAAATGATGTAAAAAATGCCATCTTGGAAGATATATATTGCTGCTTATATCCTGTTGTAATTGTAACTCTTTATAAATGTATGAAGTCCTGTTTTACCTTGTGTACTGTTAACGTCATACTTATTTGTAAAGTATTGGCGGCACTTGTAAAATAAAGGTGATGAGCTCACTTTCAAGTTTGTCATGCTCATTCAAGTTTATTTCCGACATGCACAGTTAACCAGTCATACAGTATAAATGTATAAACATCAGAGTGCCAATAACAGTGCATACAGGGAGAGCAGCCCCATTCATATCTTGCAGTATATTGTAAACGTAACGAAGCATCAGTTTATCATAGTAGCACGCAAAGCAAGGTATCACACTATGGCTGCAGCAGGGCGTTAACCTACATTAGTTGCATGTAAACAGTGTATGAAATCAGTATATACATCCTGCCACAGTTGGTCCGTACTTTGTTGCAAATGTTAAGAGAAACAAGGCAGGCAGTTACAAACTAGAGGTGCACTGATGCCTTTTGTTTTGACCTCGAGGGTGTGTTTCTTTATCTTTACATTGCATACAACTCTTATGTGTTACTTTTGTTAATGATGATGGTATCTTCTTCTTTAGTCTTATTTAACAATTCCTTTTTTTAATAAGCAAATGCAGTTATAAAGTACTTCAGTGCACCAGTAGTTTGGACCAGGAGCAGTTACACTTTCTCCACAGCATGTGCAGTCTGATGATCCGACAACACTAACTGTGTGCAGCGCTCGTTTTCCTCACTTTGTTCCTGAGTTTGTGGGTTACTTTCGAGACATGAGTGAAACAGCCTGCGACTTCTTTCCTTCTTCTTTCTCTCGTCCATAGCAGAAAAAGCAATATGTTTTACATAAGAGTCTCTTCAGCTTGTTTTCAACAGATTTTGTGCTTTTTCAATTTTTTCAAAACGTTCTTCCTCCTCCACTCTTCTGTGCAAATGTGAGATCAGATGAAGTTAAATGTGACTCCGTCCATCCCACAGTTTAATTCTGGTGCTCTGAGAATCAGAGAAAAGTAGAAATGAATACATTTACATTTTACATTCATTTACAGCCTTTTGAAGAATGTATTTCTTCCATACCTATTGTATACGCTATGAGGATGATGACAGCCACACCCAGCAGTATCGCCAGACAGCTGAGCAGCATAGACAGGCGCCCATACTTCCTTGCTCCTTCTAAATCTCCTGTATGGAGAACAGACTGCGACTAATGGAAAAGGAAAGGAAGAGAGTAATGAATTATTTAAACTCAACAGAAGGAAAAATCACTTGTAGTGTTGGAAATTGTATAAGGAATAACACAGACATATATTCCTCTACATTGTGATATTTTGAAGTAAATTGTAAATGTCACTCACCACATGTGCATACCACAAGGCACATATGTTGAGCGGCGGGGCGGGGCAGAAACAGGACAGCACGGCGAGCCAAAAGTAGGTCGGGGGTGCGGACCCGGGCGGCACCGGGGAGGGCAGCGGGCCCAGGCTGAGCCGGGACAGGGACTTGGGAGGGGGCACCAGATGCCCGATGGAGCCCGACTTCAGCAGGGATCTGTGCCCGTTCTGGTCCGCATCCAGGGACCGGACGCTGCCTCTGATGTTGAGGGAGAAGGAGTCGGACGGGTTGATGTTGCTCTGCCCGGAGGGCTTGGTGTTCCCGGTGCTCAGGAGCTTCTCCGTGTCCTGGAAGTTGGTGGGATTGGAATCTTCCCTCTCGCCAAGGGCGCTTTTCCCAAAGGCTGCGTCCGTGTTGATAGCCATCACTGAAAGATAATAAGTCTCCAAGTCTTTGTCTGACCGAGGCGCTGTCCTGTGGCTGGAGATGCTGAGGAGTCGTCCTTCAAATATTCTCCATTGGGGCTCATTAGATTAAATATTACAACATGATAAAGTCTAATATATTTAAGGCAACCTACTGAATGAAGCAGTCTAACTCCATCAATAATTCTTATTGCAGAGCGAGATGTTATAGTTGTCTGAGTCCCTCTCACGTTTAGTTGGCGGTGAGCGTCCGGAGGCGCGCCTTGCTTTTTTACCCCCCCTCCCCCCTCCCCTCCTCTTTTAGATTATGTAGTGAGGTATTACCGCATCCCTTACATCTCCACAGCGCACCCCGAGTGTCTGAGGCCTACTTATGCTCCAGGCGAGGCTTGTGACAATGCAAAAACATCAATTAAACATCGTTTGAAGAGAACACGCGCGGTGCGTAAAAGCTTTCCATTTACGCGCGAAGCGAGCTTGAGCTGGATCAGCATCAGCATGCAGGACGCGGCGCAGAGGCAGAGCGAGATTAACAGAGAGTGAGGTGGATCCTGTGAAACACAAGCACGCCCTGCTGACTCAGGTCTTCATTTTAAGGTATATTCTGCCAATTGACTTCGTTTAACTTGTCTCGGGTATTTCAAATAGGACCCTCCTTTCTGTTGATGTTAACGACCCCCACACATGACCACAATGTATTGGTTAACCTACTCTTACTTTATGTGTAATCCTTCTTTCTTACCTACTGTTTCTTCACTAAATGTATCTCTCAGCTCTTTTTTAGATACATATTTCAATATCAGTGGAGGAGAAGCAGCACTGAGAGAACATTTCAAGTCCTGCATTTCCAAAGGATTATACTAACCAAATATACTTCGTGTATCAAAGTCAGGGCCGTTTCTTCCTATATGCGGGCTATGCGGGGGCATAGGGCCCCCGCGGCCACTAGGGGGCCCCCAAGCTGAAAGTTTTTTTTTTTTATTCATCCGAAAAACAAAAAAAGTTTAATTCATACACACAAAGATGAACACAATTAGTAGAAGCGGGAGGGCTGAAGCATAGCTTGTGGAAAGTAGCCCTCCCGTGCATCATCCTAATACAGCGGCATTATTGCGTCAAAAATGTATAGAAATGAAGGAGTACAAAAAAATTAAGAAAACAAGAGAAAAAATTAAATAAAAGTTAGGGCAGGAAAACAATAAATGCATATATATATATATATATATATATATATATATATATATATAAATGCATATATATATATATATATATATATATATATGCATTTATTGTTTTCCTGCCCTAACTTTTATTTAATTGTTTCTCTTGTTTTCTTAATTTTGTTGTACTCCTTCATTTCTATATATATATATATATATACGAAAACTAGATATAGGGTCATTTTCTGCACATGTCAATAGCAGTTTCAACTATCTTTTTTTGGAAATTAAAATACTATGTATAAATATATACATAGGTACACATGCACTTGGCAAATGAATAATAATAATAATATATACATAATTGCATATAAACATTGTGAACACTTATTTTCAAGTGACCTTTTTTACATTCATATGTTCACGCTGTGGTTTGGAACTGCTTTTGAATGTTATTAGGCATTTTGTTTTGGAAAATGTTGTGCATAATCAGTACTGTTTTAAGCTGTACTATCTCAACACATTTTAATAGATTGAGTTTTTTTAAATATGGGAGTTGTCTGTTCATATTTACCAACACCACAGACTATTCGTAATACTTTTTTTTGGGATGTTATTATTTTTTGTAGATTTGTTGAGTACGTGTTTCCCCATATTTCGGAGCAGTAGTAAAGGTAAGGGAGAAATAGACTGTTATAAAGAGTATATTTTCTTCAAGAATGTTCTTAGTATGATACAAAATACCTATTGTTTTTGACAGTTTAGTCTGTACATAATTTATATAGTGCTTCCAATTGAGTTTTTCTTCAACAAGCAGTCCTAAAAATGTACATGCACCAACTTTCAATCTCTGTATTGCAAATCCGTATAATGCAGTCATTTCTACTCTCAGACTTTGTATTGAATAACATGTCATTTGTTTTGGCCACATCAAGGGATAATTTATTAACTGCAAACCAGTTACATAGTATTTTTAATTCTGCATTCACAATTTTAACAAGATCGCCAAGATTATGATGGGAGCAGAGAATTCAAAGTTCAGGTTCAGCCTCAATATATTTGGGGAGAATTAAAATGAGCCATCTTTATTTGCAGACAGCCTGTTTTGTTACTTCCCATTGTAAAGCGTCCTTGGGTTTCGTGAAAGGCGCTATATAAATTGAAATTATTATTATTATTATTAAATCATCGTTGGGCTGACAGCTGAGAAAATGCTGCATCTCTTGCATTTATTGACGTAGAGGAGCCTTATTGTTTACTTTTTAATATCATTTTTTGTAATTTTCAATTGCTTGGTTTTCGTGAAATTAGCCTGTTTTCCTATTAAAGTGTAACAGATTGATGCATCTCCACAGATCATCTTAAAGGTCCCATTTCATGCTTTTCCGGTTATTACCCGTACCCTTGTGTGTTATGAAGGTTTTTATGCATGTAAACGGTCGGCAGAGTCAAAACCCTCAAAGTACACCCTGTAGCGAGAAAACAACACAGAAATTATCTCCCGAAAACGCCTCGTTGGAGATACGTCACTGTCCATTGATTCTTCTGGGTAACTCATGATGTCATGCGTTACCCGAAACCAAATGGACCAATCCGTGGAGCCGTTACGTTAAGCCCCCGCTGATTGGTTCAAATTGACCAATCCACGGACTTCCTCACACACACACTCAGTGCCAGCTCTGCTGATCTCTCCTCCTTGGCTGCAGGCTGATAACAGACAGTTGGGATCGCGGCGAAATTCTCTCTGCAGACCCATTCTCACAGCGTTTATCAACCTTTTTCTTACTCAATATCAAGCCACACTTATTGTTTTTACTTCGGCTGTGACTTTGTGTGTGCTCAGGGTGAGTTTGGCTGTGTTTCGCTGTGTATCGCTAAACAAGGAAACCACACCTCCACGGAGCTCAGCTCGACATCTACTTCCGGTCCATGGGACCCCGGAAGCGAAAAATTATACATTGAATTCAATGGAGAGAGAAAACGTATCTTTTGATCCCGTTTGAATTGTGCCACGAACTACACATATGATGTTTGTCAATCTTAAACAATCATTTCCATGTCAAAAAAGTCACATTTTGTCGTAAAACTGTTGAAATATAAGACTATGAAAAATACGCGACTACAAAGACTACAAATCCCAAATCCCATTCTGGGTCGCGTAAGTGATGTCACCGGCGATAATGCTCCAAGTGGTTGGTTCACTTTTACAAGATGCCTGTGTGCTTTGTACCAGGT